TGGGCCCACCACGCTTCCGCTGCGCCACTCTGATTTCTGATATTTGATTATCCTACTAACTTATTTAACTCTTCATCAATTATTTGTGGTATTAAGCATATCCCTTTCATCAATTATTTAACTCTTCAATTTCTAAACCTAAATTTAAAATCACTAATTCGGGAATAACTTATACGTGATGTTTGCAGAGATTATTATATGTAAATCTTAGACAGGAATACGTATATTATAATTAAAATGCTATTTCTAAAGTTTACAACGATACATAAATATATATATATAGTAATGTAAAAACAAAACAATGTTATTATTGGCAACCTTACGTAACCCGCCAATTAAATACTATTAATAAAAGACCGAAACTAACTGCCGAGCTCTAATTATTTAAATATTAAATATATTAAAAAAAAAGCGCCCCCGGTCCACCCTCCGTCATCCCCTTTCTTTCTCCGATCGGATCCCATTTCCTCCTCCTCCACCAATTCCGTCTTCGAGGTACTCTGCGATGCTCTTGGGGTTGGCGTTTCTTGTGATCCGGATTTGTGACTTCTTCCTTTTTATTCCTACTGACGCGTTCTTTTGGGGGTTAATTTGGTTTCTAGGGTTTCCGGAGCGGCATATCTTCCATGGATTCCGCGTCTTCAGGGCAGCCGGAGTTCGATTATTTGTTTAAGCTGTTGCTGATTGGGGATTCGGGCGTGGGTAAGAGCAGTCTCCTCTTGAGGTTCACTTCGGACTCCTTCGAGGATCTTTCGCCTACAATTGGTGCGGTCTTGGATCCTTTCTTGTCTTTCTTTGGTCCTTTTTTGTTGCTATAATTATTTTTGACGGTAATTTCTGGAATTTTGATACAATTTTAACCTTTAGTAGGAAAGGAGGAAGCTTTATTTTTCGTTTGTCGATCGATTGCTTTTGTAATTGATGGTGATGGTGTTATTGATTGATTAATATGTAATAGTTTTCGAGTTACAAGGAGATTTGCAACGTTTTGTGAGAATGCAATGACAAACCACGACAGGATTGTCACGTGATGACTTGTAATATAAAGGCTAAAATTCAGTTGTAATATAAAGGCTAATCTTTCTGGCAATTTGTCCCTGTGATTGATTGTACTTCTGATGGATCTTAGCACATTGGCTTTGAATGTTGCTTTTAATTTTTTTAAAATTTCAAGTAAAATCTTATCAAGGGAGTTTGTTGAACTATTTAGTTGGAATTTGTTTATTGTTACTGTGATTTTGTTCAAACATTTCCATAATTATATCCAGGCGTTGACTTCAAAGTAAAGATTGTTAACATTGGTGGAAAAAGGCTGAAGCTTGCTATCTGGGATACAGGTGACTGTTTAACACTTGGTGCATAATTCTCATTCCTATTTTCTTGAGAGTAAACACTGGTAAATGAATATAGTTAATATTTGGTAACAGAAATTCTTTTTTTTTAACACAAATTTTGAGAAGCTCCTTATCAGGGTCATTAAGGTGGAAAGCTTACATGCAAGTCAAAGATGGTTGTTTGAACTAATTCTATTGACATGTTAGTTCTATAGGAGAATAAGCATCTGATTAAAAGAATATTTTTGACATGAAATGGGGTTGGAGAATGGAACTGCCATAGTGCAAATAGTGTTTGGTTATAAGATAATTACTAGACAGAAGAAGAAGTATGCATCATGATGATGTTGAAGCAACAACCACAAAATTCTACTTGATGCAGGAGGTTTCAATTTCATAAGTTGGCTATCTCATACCTTTCAAGCTATACAAATTAATTATCACAGGTTATCAACTTTATACAAAACCACGTAATGTCATGATTTTGTGCAATTCTTATGTGGTCCATGATTGTTAAGGCGATAATGCAGTTCCATTATATTTGACTGAAGTAAGGTTTAGGCTGCAGTAAGTCAATGAATTGACAAGAATATAACTGGTGTTGCAAACCCCAGATTGGTGCAATTGCAGAATCAATTGCATGTAGTAGCACAATCTTAGAAGTCCCAGCTATTTGCTATGCTACAGTTGAATTCTGTTCAAATTTAATTTTTATTCTTTTCTGTGATGAACTATGGATTGCCAGACTATTGTTTTTCCTGTTATATACAAGACCATCTTGTTGCAATTGTACTTGGCAAATCGTTTGTGCGATGCTACAATTAAAAGAATCATTGTGATGCTAGTTTAGTTGATACTCCTGGGTTTTGCAGCATGATTTGTACTTCAAATGTTGTTAAATGAGAACTCAGAAGGACTCTGTTTTGCAGCTGGACAGGAACGATTCAGAACTTTAACAAGTTCATATTACAGAGGAGCACAAGGAGTCATTATGGGTATAACTTCTTCATTGCCTGTAATTAATTTTACAGACTTGTCCTTTTTGTCCAATAGTTAAGCTGAAAAAACTTATAACTAGATTTATACTGCTGAAGTTATCTGTCAGATAAAGTTTATATTTTAGCTTAATTCCAGTTACTTCTTTAATATTTTCTCCTTTAATTTTTTTTGCTGTATGCCTTGGCTGTTTATATATAATGATAAGAATCTTCTATAACTTTTTGTATGGACTTGATTGTATGTCTTGCTAACCAAGCTATTTGCATGCTGACACTGCCATGGTCCTGTGGAAATGGGACAGGAAATGGCCACTTTTATGTGTTACATGTTACTGGATCATGATCTTTTTGAAATTTAATCTCACAAATAAACTAAAGAAAAAAATATTTACAAACATTCCTGCACTAGTGAAAATTTCATAACAACAATAATCCTAAACATTAAACAAAAATAAGTGGGTTAGTTACTTTCTACTACCCTTGTTGTTTAAATTAGACGGATAGTTAATTATTTAGTGAGAAAATATGACCCAAGTGATACTCTATGTACCATTTCACAAGATGATAACAAACTATTCCTACCCTCCAGGACCACAAAATAACCTACGTGGACCTACCCCCAACCCATATCAGGACCTAGATTACTCCAATGGCATATTAACTATGATATTTGTGTTGTCAAACTATCGTTAGACACAAGCTGGATGGTACATCTGGCTGATGGAGTAAATTTTAGATAGCATGAATGCTACCATTTGAACGTTGAGTGAACAAACGCAAATTAGGCCAAATATTAGGTGGAAAAGCTTTTAATTCTTATATCCATGTATGGTTAGTATTTAAGAGCTGAATTAATCTTTATATATGTTCTTTTTCTTACTAGGAAGTTCCACTTTGGCCTTTGCTTAAACTTTGACTTTTCAACAACGAAACATTGTTTGGTCAAGAGGCTATGAGCCCACTGGTTATTAGTTTTGTTGATAAGAGCATGGAATGTGTCTCCACCAAGTATAAGTTGTTATGGAAGTCACTTTATTTTTATACCCAATCTAGTTGATGTCTTCTAACTTTTATGGTATTGATGTTATGATTTCACAGAAATCTCATTGATTTTACATTTAGTTGTTGAGTTCTAAATGCTAATCTTCAGTTCTCGGCTAATCTATGACAGTTTATGATGTAACACGGAGGGACACATTCACAAATCTTTCTGATATATGGGCTAAGGAAATAGAACTTTATTCAACTAATCAGGATTGCATTAAGATGCTTGTTGGGAACAAGGTTGATAAGGTAATTCTGAATATTTTTCAATAATATATGTTTATTTTAAATCTCAGGTTAAATGTATAAATCGCTCAAGCCAATTTTTCTTGTTAGTGACCATCTACATCACTTTTAACCTAGATATTGGAACTTTTCTTATGCCATTGTTCCATTAATTTATTTATATTACTTTTGTAACTTATCTTTGATCAGAAGGTAATATGTGATTCCATATATTTTCGTGTTTCAGGAAGGTGAGAGAGCTGTAACAAAGAAGGAAGGAATTGACTTTGCAAGGGAATATGGATGTTTGTTTCTAGAATGTAGTGCAAAGACTCGTGTCAATGTGGAACAATGCTTTGAGGAGCTCGTGTTAAAGGTATGTCAACTTTCATGTTTGCACGCTAACAACTCGTTTACAATATAGCTGCAATAAGCATTCCCTTTTTTTATTTATTTTCCGAAAAGGTAGATTACCTGAGTTCAAAAGGTGAGTAAGATGAGATGACACAGTGCATAAAATTTATTAGTCATTATCCAGGCGGGCTGGTGTACTCCCAACACACTTATTAAGCCAGTTTTTGAGTTAGGCATGTGTATTCAAGACACCACATGATGCATATGACCACTTTTTGCACTCACAATAAAGTGATGTCCCTGCTTACATCATCCAGTAGCTCGGTGCCTCTAATGTAGCTCGAAATAATGGAACCCTTATCCTCAAAACCTATATTACTCTCTTCATTTTGTTGATTTTAGTGACATCAAGGTTGGTTTTTGGATGGTCCAAGTCCAACAATATCACAACCGGTCAAGTCTTTTATTATTCCTAATCCATTGTTTAAAGGCCCTCCTGCCAGAAAATATGTGAACATCTTTATGAATTGTCTTGATCACATGGCCAAGCGGTAACATTTTGACATGTTCAAGCCATATTAGAGTTTTGCCGTTGCATTTTTTTCCCTCATGCTCCCTGCTGGCCATGGTGCGATGATTTTGGCTTACCTGTTTTTTGGCTTACCTGTTTGATCGGGGTTGTACAATCACTTGCCATCCAGATTGTTATCTTGGCATCATCGACTATTTTGAAGCTGGGACTTGCATGTACTTTTCCAATCAATAGGATACTACTGGTAATCCGTGGAATACCAGACTAATGATCTTAAATTCACCTTACAGATCCTGGAAACACCAAGCCTCTGTGCTGAGGGTTCATCCGGCCTTAAAAAGAATATCTTCAAGCAAAAGCCTCCCCAAGCAGATGCTTCCACAAGCAGCTGCTGCTGACCGCTTGTCTTCTGCACAGACTCCGCTGCCTTCCTCGCACTAGTGGTTGCCAAAATTGCCTCTTGATAATTTTGCTGGTTGGTTCATGTATAGTACTGATATTTCTTTTAATTGGTAATCCACAATATTCCCAACTTCAGCAGCTATTTCTATGTCCTCCTTACTGTATACTAGTGTATGACTGGTTTAATGTTTACCCGACAAGAAACTTGATGACCGTCAGAAACTTGTTTGCTCTGGAGTTCTGCTCATTGTAGAGCACAAAGTTTCTGCATTGTACTATAAATGAGATCAGGGAAAGTTGTTTTACCAATTGCTAGGGCGTAGAACCAGCCTACTTACACCATAATCTTCTTGATATGGGTGATGGAATTCTTCAATGTCAGAATGTAAAGTTCATTAGGCTATGGCATTAGAAACCCCTATCAGGATCTAATTTGTAAGAAATCTGATGAGAATATATATCAATGAGATTGTGAGAAATTTATCATGGGACTTGGTTGCTACCTGACAAAACAAAATAAGCAAGCTTAATTTATATCTTGTTATCAACATCAAGACAAGCTTAGGAACAACAACATGATCCTGAGATCTACCTTGTTATACCTTCAACTACACACCACTCCTTTCAGAGTATCTTGCTAAGACATGGTCCTCAGTAGGCGTGGTCTGCTAGAGAAGCTCTGCCTGCACGGTGAGCATGGATGGCACAAGCACAGCGCACAGAAGTGAGGCTGAGGCAACCGCTGATGATGAGTGAATGCCTCCCTGGGCAGGTGTGCAGCAATGGGAATGTATCGCACACGGCTTGGACGGCGGCAGCCGTCAGTGCTGTGCACTGGCTGATGTTAAGGTTCACCAGCCCAGTGTTGTCATTGCCGTTACTGCTGCCAGCATCGTCTCGCCACAACCCGTACCGGCTTTTCATGCAGCTATTTGCGAGCGAGTACATTGCCCTGTCTGTGATGTTCTGACAATAATACAAGTCCAGTGATCTGAGATGAGGGCAGCAATTTGCTATGGCAATCACACTCTCATCTGCAGTGACAAAGCAAGCACAAATTTCGTTAAGAAATACTGATCTTTCTGCTAAAAAGAAATAATGTAATGTAAACATAAATGTGAGACAATTCAGCACCAAGAATAAAAGGAAGCTTTAGTGAAATCAAACAGTACTATTAATCTAATTCCAGTGAAAATACTTAGATATTTTAAATTTACCTGTATGCCTAAGCATAATAGTCATAAACAGTGCATTCAGAATGTTATCTCTTAACTGAAATCTAGCAAAAAAGAGTTCCAATCTAAAAAATGACAGTCCAATTTGATTCTGATGAGATCTTATCTTGTAGGAAGATTCTCTTGAGATGCTTCAAGTGTCTAAGTTTTGAAAAGGGATCTTGCTTTTTGTAGAACTGAGAATAGCAAATGATGATATTTGAATTACAAGTTTTGAATATGAAAACACCTCCTTTTTTTAATCGGAATGAGGAAATGAGGAGGCCAAAGTCACAATTTTTAACAGTAATCAGAACAAGTTCTCCAAATTTATATAGACAAAATGCATATAAGGATACAAAAATTTGACGGACAAGGCAAAAGTGTTTGTGCACAAAATTTTCATGCAAAAAGTAATACAGATCACTTAAGAATCCAGATGAGTGGATACAAGAGATCCCCATTAGAGCTTCCTATATTCCATTGAAATATTGATTAGTAAACATTTGAAGCTTCGTGACAGAAAGTCTGATTACTGAGTCGCGAATGATATGAAACAGAAGGCAAATATCTAGTCTACAATTAAGTATTCTTCATGTTATAGAATCTTCCTAGGCAACCTTTTGATGGAAAGTCTGAGAACTGGGTCACTAATGCACATAAAAATAAAATGCAAAAGAAATAATGATGCCCTAAACAATTAAAAAACATCTAATGAAAAATGCAAAAAATGCAAAATCTAATGCTAGTCGCATTGAATTTTAAGCACAGATGCTTTGATATCGTGGCATGTTCAAGTACTCAAACCTCCCACAGTATGGCAACAGGATTCTAGAATGTAACAAGACATTCCACTTGATAGAATTTAACAATGTAATAATGCATGAAAACAAAAAGAACTAGGCCAACAACAGTACAAGCACGACAAGAGCAAGAAATAAAAGGACAAGAAGTAGGAGCCTAATAGGCTCTTTGGTGCTGTAAGTGACCAGATGAATGAAACAAATTAGAGAAGTACGTTGTAATTTTCCAATATGAATAGCTTATTAACACTTGAGAAAGTATTATACTCCTTCCAGAGATTTAGTGCTTCTGTTCCTATGACTTTGTCTGTATCATAATAGTAAGTGTCAGCCATGTAATTTACCTGTTATGAGGACACAGCCACACAAGTCCAATGCCCTGAGATTTGGGCAACCAGCTGCCAAACTGGTGACTCCTTTGTCACTGACACTCTCACACCAACCTAGATTCAAAGACTGAAGCTCACTGCAATGACGTGATACAGCCTGCAACAAAATTTCCGTGTCCTTCAAGCAAAAATTAGTACTCAGCAAAACAAAGTAAAAAAGTACTAACTTGTAAAGCTCTGTCAGTAGCAGCTCTCGCACATCCACAGAGATTCAAGGTTTTCAGGTTTCGACAGCAACTAGCAAGATATGCAAGGGCAGAGTCGGTAAAAGCAGAGCATCCACTGATATTCAGTTTATTTAGGCGGGGACATCCATGGCCTAGAGCATACAAAGACTGGTCAGTCAGCCTAAGGCTTTTGCTAAGGTCTAGTTCCCTCAGGTCATGGCAGTAATTAGCAACTGCCTCAACAGCACTGTCCTCAAGTTGAGGTGCATTATTTTGTCGAAGAGTTAAAACTTGAAGCTTCGTGAACTTGGGAGCAAGTGACCGCACAAGGTTGTTCATGTTGTTTTTGCACCTACAATACAGATATGACATTTCCAATTACCACAAAATCTTTGTCAGTGAAAAATACACTGCATAAACGGACAGTTGGTATAGACCAAAAGCAGTTTATGTTATTGATCTGATGATACTGAAAGATATGGTCTAATGAGAAATAAATTCAATTCACAGTTATGACTCGTTCATATGATAATCAATTAGAAAACAAAATTCCTGCTATGAGAATCATATCCTACTCTACTAGAGCTTGAAGATAAGCCCAGCAGAAATCACCTACATAAGAATAAATTTTGGATTATCAAGGAATTGACCGATTTCCCAACTTAAATCATCTTTGCATATGCTTTGCCAGTTCGTATAATTGTTTTTCTGACATCCATAGTTTCACAAGTGCTACAGCATTGCAGGATATCAGCATCTTATTCATGCAGATGTAATTTACAAACTTTTGAGAAAACACTGATGCAGGAGCTAAGGGAGACGAACAAGTAGAAGGACTGCAGTTCACTCTGTTCCCTTTTACTATTTTCAACTGCCGATTCTCTAGTTTCTTGGAATAATACTGGGAAAAGGTAGGAAAAGGTACTAGGTAGTTAAACCAACAAGATCCTGCCTCCGATTTCTAGGTATGAGTGTAGAGAACAGCATGAAAATAAAAGCATCTAGCACAGAATGAACAACGGGCCAAAAAAATAGCTTATGCTCTGTAAAAAATGGATATGTGCTGCTTGAATAGTGGATTGTTGCATCATGCTTTGTCTATTAATGCACAAACAAATTTGAAACCAATGACAACAAACAATATGGAAGAACCAAGATGTGCTGCCATTTTGTGGTATCTGCAAAGAAGGGCTGAACCCAGTGAAAGGTTTTGTGACAAGCTGTAGCCCTCGTCTTCACCATTGAAATTATCTGGTCAAATATGTGCTAATTTAGTGTATTAACATCCTTGCTTGGAGTCCTGGACTGAGGCCATATACTCAACAGGCAAACTAAGGAACGGAGCTTAATAGGGGACATATCAAAAGGTCCTGTCTACTTTCCAAACCAGGTTGAAAATTCTCCTTTTCATTTCTCCGTTCAGAGAGAACTTTAACACATTGATCTCTTCATGTATTGAAGCTTTGGCTAGAAGGTTTCACATGTAGTGGGATCACAGCCTTCATTCTTTACATTTAATGAAATCAGTTTCTCAATAAGATGATAGCAACATTTTCAAGTTCTCTTGACATGGTTCCCAGACTATACCCCAAAAAACCAGGAAAAAGTGCCTTTATAGTTCATTGAGAATGAGCACTTCACTGTCAATAGCCACCACTTCTAACAAGGTCAGGAGTGCAGTCGTGATTCATGACACTTAAAGAACCTAATGAGCTCAATGATGAAATCGAGATGTTAGCTTAAAAGAAGAGGGTAAGAAATAGCTAACGATTATCCATACCACGATAAAGAGAGACTTGTAAGCCCAAAGCCGATTGCGTCTCTCCAGCCAGTACAAACGGTTGAAGACACGATCACCATTCGGTCGTCGACAAGGGAAAGAATACGCAGCAGCAGCTCCATCGGAAGGTCCTTCCAGCACATCACAAGTTCTGGTTCAACCTCCATCTTCTCTCCACTACCAGACACCATGAGATAGCAACAGTATCAACAAATTTCCTGCAGAATAATAGTCCAAGAACAATCAACACCAAATACGGAAGAACAGCAACAGAAATGCAATTAGCTAAGCCTATTAGAGACTAATTGGAAGCCAAGTCTCTCCCTTTACATCCGAACTAAGAGATGGCAAGAGGAGAAGACCAGTTTAGCTATACAATTCGACACGAAGAACCAAATTTACAGCCTAGTATTGCTTCGATCGATTCTCGCAAACAATCAACACAAGCGAACGATCTCAAACCCTAAGGCAACTCTCACAAATCCACCCGGATACAAGACGGGGTCACGAACACATCAAAATGATGCCGGTCCACGAAGGGAAACCTCCAAACAAACATCACAAAGCTCGAAACAAATCCGTCCTTTCAGATTATCATCGCGTGCAAAGATGATCGTGACAAGGAAGCGAACAGAACCCACAAGGATCCAAGAAAGCCGATCACCTACTTTAAGAAACGCGGACCGATTTCGGAATCGCCTCTACCTTTATCGAGGGATTGGGTGGGGAATCGGTTCGATCGACCGGGCAAAGTTCGAGGGGAGCTTCGGAGACTCCCTGAGGGCTGCAGCGTTCCGTGGGGGTTTATATCGACCGGCGACCGTGGGGACGGCGGACACGGGCGGGGATCCGGTGGCCTCAGCTGACACGTGGCGGTCGGTGGAGGCAGTGCGTGGCCGGCAGGTAGCGACACGAGTGGACGAATCCAGAACACGGTTGCCGTTTCGCGGGTGGCAGCCACTCCCTCCGTTACTGGACGTCTCCATTTACAGGAAATATGGATTAAAATATATAAACTAAAATTAATTTGGGTTCCCGTGGTTGGATCGCTCATCAGCCGTTCACGAATCAGAAGGAAGATCAGGTCCGCGATGTACGATCCTACGTGTTTTGCGTGCCCTTCTCAATCGCACTGCACGACCATTCCCGGCGCTGATCTGCGTCCATGATGCCTTGAGATGCGTGAAGAGACTTGATCGGCACCTTTGCGATTCGCACGAGCGGTTTGTATTCTGTGGCACGGTGAGAGGAGTCATTGCATGGGCAACGAGTCGGTCTCGTGGGCACGAGGCATGTATTTGTGATTTTTCTGCTGGAGGTGATAAGTATTTTTGGATTATACTGGAGATGGTATGTATTTTTGGATTTCTAAAGTTAGGATGCTTGGAAGGTAAGCAAGTATATTATATAAATAATATTTTTGAAGGAAAGAGATCTTAAAAATAAGATTTTATTATTCCATAAATATCTTATTTATCTTTGGTTTTTGATGGGGACGCCAAATGTGAAAAAATATTTTAGATATTTATATATTTTTTCTAATAAGTTTAAAGGGGATTGGGAAAAAAAAATTAAAAGATTAGGTGAGGTGGTGTATAAGGGTTTCAAACGTAGATTTAAGTAAGATAATTTTTTTTTATATTTTGATTCTTTTAAAATTGGGAGGAATATGATCTCTCGATTACATGGAGTATCAACCCATGTAAATCTTCTATTATCTTATTATTATTATTATTATTTTATTAATATCTAAAATTTTTCTTTTAGTTTCGAAGTTTTCTCTCCCATCAACATTTTTTAAGATGAGATTTAATTTTTTGATTTTGTGAGAGTTCATTCCTTTACAAAATGATTAAAAAACAAGTATTGTCTTTTCGATTACTTACCATTTCGATGATCTAGTTGGATTAGTATATATAGATTAATATCAACGTATTATATATTGGTATAATGGTATATTATGATGTTTCAAAAGAAAATGATGGAAAAGAGTAAGGGATTGATACAAACGAAAGACCTTTTAACTATTCATAGAGGATTAATGATAAGAGCAAAAACTAAAAACATAAAAGAAGTCTTAACTTATTTATTGGAAGACATTTGAAAGGAGCAAGCTGGTCAATACTCTGGTCAAGATTTTATGGACGCAAGAAGAGCATAAAATCGTTAATATGATTCGAACAAGTCCAAATCATGAAGAGAAAGTTCAACTTTGAAAGAAGGATGAATTTTTAGCCTATTTTAAAGAATAAAGATCATTCAGCTATATTAGGAATTATGGTCTTATTTATGAATAATCATTCAAATCAATTCAAGACAGATTCATGAGTGATCTACGTTCATGAATTTGGAATATAAATGTCATTTAATATATTTAATAGATTTATTCCCTTTGTACATGGCCTTGTACTATATAAATAAGGCTAACTCTCTTTGTAAAGAGGTAATTGAGAAGTATAATCATATTCATTGGTGAATGTTTTGTTTTTATGTTCTTGCATGAACTTTGAAACTTATCAAACTTTTCTGCTTGTGGTATTCAAAATCCAAAAATCTTTATTTTTCTTTTTAATTTATCAAACTTCTTAGTTTGTGGTATTTTAAGGGAATCAAAGTGTTGTTCTAATTATTACATCAATTTTTCATTAATAAAGTGATTAGAATAGTTTCCCTTACTTCAATCTTGAACAATTCATCTAGTTTTAATTTGTTGGAGGGTGTCAATTTATATTTCATATGTATCATAGCTCTTTAGCTATTGGGGTATATGATTTCTAAGTTGATGATTACCATCATTTTGTATTAGAGCTCGGTTCAAGTTTAAGATATGTGTATCTATTTATTTGCTATCTTTTAGCTTTCCTTTCTCCTCCTCTTCTTTTTCTTTCAGCACCATATCTATAATTGTTGTTCTTCTTTCATCTTTATTGTTGTGCTTATTGTGTTATTACTAATTTTCTTTATTTTTTTTCATATTTTATAGTATAAAAAGGTAAAAAATCAGAAAGTAAAAAAAGAGAGAAAAAAATGAATGGTAAAAAAAAAAGGAGAGAATATCAAAGGTAAAAAAAAGTAAAGAGATCATAATTTAAAAAATTATGGTTTCAAGGAATTCTTACAAATTACAAATTAAAAAATTATGAATTCATTTATATTCTTATTTGGATGTAGAAATCTTTCTTTATTCCAGAAATTTTTCTTTGATATTTGAGTTTAATCTTTGCTTATGATTGAAGTGCATCGTACACATATTTAAATTGGCCTATCTAATTTTGTTTAATCTTTGCTTTTGTTTCTTTTAGACCTATCCAATTTTACTATCCTTGAATTGTTATAATCTGAATTATTTGTTTATGAAGAACAAAACAAAGAGAGTTAAAAGGCAAAAGTGGTGAGATCAGTATTAAGAAAAACTAAAAATTGTGTAGCGGAGTGAATCAAATCTTGAGTGAAACACACTAAGGAGTGTTGGTGAGGCTATTCTGACTTTGTTTTTTAGGTTATAAATATGTCTAAAGATAAAGAAATGAATTCTTCATCAAATTCTCTTTTGGTTCAAGCAATGCAGCAACAATTTGAATGTATGTTCAAAGTGATGGTAAATATAAGAGATCATTTAGAAACGCATGATAATGCAATTAATAGATTGCAAGGTGAACTATGGCATGGGAGACAAACAGCCTTTGCCAATAATGAATATGGTGGTGGAGATGACATGGATGATGACCAAGTTATTCTAATTTGTCAAGATGTTAATCCTAGGAGACAAACTTGGATACGATGTTTTGATGGTGTGAATAGAAACATAGACAACATCAAAATGAAAATTTTATATTTTTAAGGGAAGAATAATCCATATGCCTATTTGGAGTAGGAACAAAAAGTAGTGCTAATCTTTGAATGTCACAACTACTCCAAAGAGAAAAAGGAAAAATTAGCCACTATTGAATTTTTTGATCATGCTATTGTTTGGTGGAATCAATTATGTAAATATAGGCATAGAAATGGTGAAAGGCCCGTGGAGACTTGGTTGGAGATGAAATAAATCATGTGGAGGAGATTTGTCCCTAGCTATTACTATAGGGATTTGCATCTACGGTTGTAAACTTTGACATAAGATTCTATGAGTGTTGATGAATATCATAAGAAGATGGAGATAGCCATGATAAGGGCTAATGTGGAGGAAGACCATGAGGCCACAATGGATTGATTCCTGAGTGGATTCAATAAGAATATTGCTGATCTTGTGGAGTTGCAACATCATGTGGAGATTGAGGACATGGTGAATATAGCCATAAAGATTGAGAGGCAACTTAAAAGAAAAGACACAAGGTATGATTCAAAATCTTATTCAGGTTCTTTTTCTTTTTAGAAATTAGATTGGAGTACAAAAGATAATAAACCTATTGTTAAGCCTTAAATTGATGAAACTAAAGGTAAAAATAAATCAAGCAATAAAGGTAAAAGTAAGAATTAACCTAATCAAACTAGAGACATTACGTGTTTTAAGTGTCTTGGACATGGATATGTGGCACGTGAATGTCCTAATAAGAGAGTTATGATCACGAGGAATGAGATTGTGGAATCTGAGTGAGAGAGAGAGAGAGAGGATATTGATGACATTCCGGAGGATGCTAGTGATATAGAGTATGCTAAAGATGAAAATCTAGTTATTCAACACATACTTAGTTTACAAAATAAAAATGATGTACATGGTGAACAACGTGAAAATCTATTTCATACTCATTGTTTGATTGCTAACAAGTTGTGTACTATGATTATTGATAGTGGAAGTTGTACAAATATGGTAAGCACCCAGAGAAACTGAAATTATCTACTAGCAAACATCCAAAACCTTACAAGTTACAATGGTTGAATGATAGTGATGTAGTAAAGGTAAATCGATAAGTGTTAGTTTCTTTTTCAATTGGTAGATATAAGGATGAAGTTTGGTATGATGTAGTACCTATGTATGCTGGTCATATGTTGTTGGGGAGACCTTAGCAATATGATCGAAGGGTAATATATGATGGGTTCAAGAACCATTATTCTTTAATCATGGGTGGACAGAAATATCAGCTTGGACCTTTGCCTCCAAAGATAATTTTTGAAGACCAAATGCATATAAAACAACAATATGAGGAGCTCGAGTCTTCATTAACCAAAACTTTGGGGAGGGAGCCAGAAAGAGAGAAAAAAGAAAAAGATGAGTTGAGTGGTAAAAATGAGAGTATTAGGAAACACAAGAGGAGAAAAAACAAGGAAAACTTGAGTGAGAAAAATAAGTGTTTATGCCAAAATGAGTGATATGAAGAAAGCCTTAATCATGAGGTAGCCCTTACTTGTACTTATGTAGAAGGACTTTTGATTACTTCTAATAAAATTGACAAGAGTTTGGCTAGTGTTATTATTGATCTTTTGTAAGAAAATGAGGATCTCTTTCCCAAAGAAGTTCCTAATGGTTTACCACCAATTAGAGGAATTGAGCATCAAATTGATTTCATTCCAAATGCAAGCATACCAAATAAGCCAGCATATAGATAGAACCCCGAAAAGACCAAGCAAATCCAAATTCAAGTTAGTGAGCTTATGGAAAAGGGGTATATACGAGAAAACATAAATCCATGTACAGTTCCTATTTTGTTGGTGCCTAAAAAGGATAGATTTTGGAGAATGTGTATTGATTGCAGAGCCATCAACAAAATCACGATAAAGTATAAACATTCTATTCCTAGGCTAGATGACATGTTGGATGAATTGTATGGTTCTTATGTGTTTTCAAAAATTGACTTAAAATCTGGATATCATCAAATAAGAATGCATGAGGGTGATGAATGGAAAACAACTTTCAAAACTAAACATGGTTTATATAAATGGTTGGTGATGCCGTTTGGCCTTGCTAACATACATAGTACTTTTATGAGATTGAGGAACCATATTTTATGTGTTTACATTGAAAAGTTT